CTGTAAACCAAAAGTCAAAACAAAAATTTATCACATTGAGAACACCAATATGTACCCTATTCTGCTAGGTACATATCTCTCTAGCAACTTTGACCGAGCAAATGAACAAAAGGAACAAAGAAAATGAGTGAGATGCCCTATGACAATGGATAGTGGATCTATAAAAGACCATTGGAAAAAACAGTGTTACATATTTAAACATTTGGCGGTGTATGATGCCAAAATTCATACAGGAGTGGTACACGACTTTCCACACACCCTGTTGGTCTCGGTCATACGGTCTCATGGTGGAAACAGTCAGAACTACACTTCTGCTAATTTGACCAACATGAAATATTTTTTTAGCTGAAAGCAAGCTTGAAAGTTCAGCCTCTCTTGTGGAGAAAACAGAGACAAAAATTACTAGCAAGAAACCAAAGCTTTAAGCTGCTTCAGGCAAAACGCTATTATATCCCTAAGATGCAGGAGAAAACCTTCTTAAAGAACCCATAATTCACATGAAAATGAACTATGCCATCAAGAGCCAAAGGGGACAAAGGAGATGGAAACAAGAAAAATAATGTGTTATGTTCATTTACTCTTTAATGACAGTGTCTCCTATTACTCTCAGATATCACAAGTAAAGAATGTTTCCTCTAAGGAATCTGCAAATACCCACCAAATTCATATATCATGTGCGCCTTTTAGCTTTGTGGTGAGCCGATCATCAAAAGGCGATGCCATGGCGACAAAGGCAGAGGCGAGAAAGGCATCGCCTTTTGTATTTTCTTAAAAAAAGGCGATCAATTTAGGTTTTTAAAAGTTGAAAGATAATTTTAGGGTTTCCTTTCCAATTTAGCTTCAAGGTTATGGGTAGACATGCTACTCTCCATTATGCCCACTTAAACCAAGAGGCACGTGTATGGTTAAAAATTGTGTCTAGTACTTTGATGTCGTGCAAGCACACCACCGAAGTAACTAGAGAAAGAGTAGTGCTCATCTATAGACTAATGGAAGGGCTACAAGTTAATGTGGGCGCTATTTTGCGTCAAAATATGTTGAAGTTTAGGAGTAGTAAGAGATGATGTTTCTGTTATGAGAGCTTGCTCACTAGGTACTTAAGTGCTTTGATGATTGAGGAGGAGGTCCATGATGTATGTCCACCTCGTGCCCCTCATTTGGTATGCCATTTGGTTGATGTTACTAAAACTAAGGCGCAAGAAGCGTCACATGGGCCAGTGTTATCTACTGCGGATAGGCAAGCACATGATGATAGTTGGATGGGCAGAATGTATGGTATGGCCGAGCTTCAATTGCAGATAGGTGGCCGTTCGGTGACTGAGGAAGATATGGCAACATTGACAAAGTGTTACCCTTTGACGGATAGCGCAATTTTTATGTGTCGTATGGGCCTAGCATTCCAAGAGCCTATCGATGATGATGATGCCACTGAGGATGAAGATGATAAGTCTGAGGAGGATGAGACGGATGATGGTAGGAATGATGATGATGATGATGATGATACCGACGCAGGTGATGGTGAAGCGGCCTTAATGGTTGTGGATTTTGCACAAATGTGGCAACTGTTGATTGAGTGCCAAGAGGCCTAGAGGCCAAAAAAAGGGAGTTTTTCTTTCACTCTTTACTTATGTTTTGTTTTGTGCACCGAGGAGAGTGCTATGTTTAAGTGTGGGGGAAGATGAACTACCATATATATATTTTACTGCTTTATCAAGTATTTTATTTTATTTAGGTGGGTTCCTTGATTTTTGTTTTCGATTCTTTTCCCGAGGATAGTCCCATTGAACCGACTAGGACTAATATTTTATTTAATTGTGTTGAATCATAGAGTTGTCATAGTAGTGACAGTTCCCAATGACGGATGGATGACGACTGCCTTAAGGGAAAATTAGTTACTAGGAGTAGTAGATGGTGAAATCGAATTGTCGGAACTTTGAAACCTTGCTTAGCCTAACGTCATGGGTAGTTCACACTTGTGTATGCAACTTGAATGGGATTAGTAACCTTAAGACACACATAGGTTCTTTGCTTTGACTCTAATTGATAAAGATGGGCTTAATTGAGTGTAAAACACCGCAATGTGATTTGTATAAGCATGCTAAGTTGATTATATCCTTATGTGTATGTCATGATGCCATGTGGGATGAGTAATTGCTAGTTCTTGCATTGAATGACATCTAGAACTTGCCTTGTGTGTGCTTAATAAGTAACTTGTATGGATTGTGGAATAGGATTGAGGCATTTCACTGAATAGCCAATTTGAACTTTCTTATGTGTTTCCAAATGACTTGTCCTTAGTAAAGCCCCATTGAGCCTTTTAGCCTTTAATTTTTTACTAACCACATATTGAGTCGAATGTTTTTTTATTGATACCATGACTTTGTTTGATCCAAAAGTTGATCCTTAATGCACTATGTTAAGAGGCAAAATGAAAACAATGGTAAAAGTGAAGTAGGGTGGAAATGCTTGTTTTGTGGCGAAATTAAAGAAAGAAGGTGAAAAACATGGCGATTATAAATTGCAAAAGCACTTGTATTGAAAAAAATGTAAAAAAGAAAAATATTGCTTGAATAGGAAACAATTGCTTAAATATACAAAAGGGTAAAGCTTGAAACATGAATTGAAGGATATTTATGAGGTTTGTACCAAAGAAAAGAGAAGTGGCTGAAGAAGTATGTCTGAAAAATAAAATACCTGCATTAGAGAGGAATAGTCACTAATTATATCCTAAATGTACCCTCCCTTGCCTCAGGCCGACATTACAACCAAACTTAAGTCCTCTTGATTCCATGATTAGTGCTTTGTGAAAGTTAAAAGTACACTAAGGGAAAGCTTATGGTATGTTAGAATATGTAAGAACATCATTTGTTGAGGGTGAGTGCTAAACTTTGAAAAATAGGCCTTGGTTTGAAACAGTGTTTTGGACGGCGAGAGGCGACAAAAGGCAACAAGGGCCTGCCTCGCCACACGGCGAGCCACTCGCCTTTTTGAATTGAGGCGCCAATTAATACAAAATATTTAATTGCATATATAAATATCCAAAATCTCAATAACAATAACATTCATTAGCAATGTCCCTCTTTTTGTTAGCATCTGACGTATTGAATTCACAATTTATGGACAAATAAATACGATATTAATTAGTATAAAACTAAATTAAGTAGGGAAGAAATAATTATAGAAGGATCAAATTATTATTTTTTTAAATATACACAGATTCCAGCCCAGTGAGCAGAGCACTACAGTCTACCACAGAAGTACAGAACCAAACATAGTCTCAAACTCTAAATACTGAAAAACAGAGTAGTTCCACCCAAAAAAAAAATATAGTAGTTCCACCAAAAAAAAAAATAGAGTAGAGACTAGAGAGTAGAGAAGAAGAAGAAGAGAAGAACTAGAAGATAAGAAGATAAGAACTAGAAGAGAAGAAGAAAAGAACTAGAGATAAGATTTCGTACCTGAGAAGGAGCAGCAGTTGCTATTGCGATTCACGAAGAAGAAGTCTCCACGAAGGAGCAACAATCGCGAAATAGGAGGAGAAGAGGAGGAGCGTCTTGCGAAGGTCAAGTTTGCAAAAATACCCAAAAAACCCTAATTTTGGCTTTTATTTATTAAGTCAGACCTTAAAAAAATACAAAAATAAAAAATAAAAAGGCGACGCCTATTGCATCGCCACACCACGTCATCTTATGCCTTTCTGTCGCCATGGCACGCCTTTCTGAAGTCGCCTCGCCTCGCCTTGTCGCCAAAGGCGAAAAGCGAGCGCCTTTCATAACACTGGTTTGAAATATGATGAGTGTAAGGCTATACTAAAAATGGTGAGGGCATTCATGACGCACATTTGGGTGAATTGTATTTTGGCGTGTTCTTATATGATTACGTTGGCCCGAAATATTCGTGAAGAGTCATTCATTGAGGTTATGTGGTGTTGATTGGTAAACTAACAAAATTAACTAAATTGTTGATTGTTGCATAAAGTGTGGATTACAAAAGCATGATTGAATATGTTTGGTTGATTTTACTGTGGGTGGATAAGTCCAAAGGTGATAATGATGAGTTGATAATCTAGAGATTGTTTGAGGACGAACAAAGGTTTAAATGTGGGGTGGTGATCTTGAGCGTATTTATATGCCCAATTACTACGAATTGCCCGTGTTTACCTTATGTTTTGAGAGCATTCTTAATTTTAATTGGTATATTTAGATAATTATTACGATGATTGCACACTAACCTATATGATTAGTTATATGCAGGGGTTCCTAAAGAAGTATGCACGTAACGAAAGCAAAGGAAACGACAACAACGAAAATGCACCAAATAGAAGCTGGACGCACTGCCCCAGCACATTAGGCGCGATGGTGGCGCAGGGTGCCAGCCTCAAAACTTCAGAGAACACTTTCAGGCATACTACTGGCGCCTTCGCCAGGCCTGGACATGCCCAGACCTCTCTTGGAGCGATTCAGCGCATTGCCCCCGACTTTTCCGATGAATTTTAGTTGTTTTAGGATTCCAAAGTTAATTAAAAGTGAGAATTAATTTCTTAAACTCTATATATATGACCCTAGGGTTATTTTGTGAAGTACTTTTTTTTTCGTGTGCAAGAGCAATTTGTCTTAGGTTTCAATTCTCTACTTTTCCTTTAAATTCGATTTGTATGAAATTGATAGTTTTTGAGTCTATGAATATTATGATTGGCTAAAAGCCTTTGTTCTGGGGTTGTAGGTACGAGTAATTGTTGAGCATCAATTGTTTTGAATTAATGTTGGTTATCGCTTAAATTACTTTTGTATTCTTGTTTTTAGTATTTCATGCTTGATCACCATAGAGATAAACATATTGTCTAGAATAACTCAAGAGACAAAGAGGTAGATAGACCAAAGAATACAAAGAGCTCAATCTCTCGTGCATATCACTTGTTCAGATTCGTGTTCAGGATTGACACCCAAACGAACACCGAGCTTGGTTATGAAACATGATAAAAATACAAATGCTTCCAATTG